ACAAAAATTAAGGGTTGTAATTTAAAAAAACCTTACTTCGATTGGGGCGCCGCCACGCGGCAGATTTTGGAACAACTACATATGCTAAAATATTGCTAGAAAAATTCCAAAGTTGACGTGTTTCAGCGTTTTTTTAAAAAAAATACCGTTTTCAAAATAATCACATGTTCCGGGACTTTACGGACACACTGTATATAACTTACTATCACAAAAAAAGTAATACAAAATAAATAAAATTACTCGGTTATAATAATTTTTTTGTCTTTCTATAACTTACTATCACAAAAAAATTAATACAAAATAAATAAAATTACTCGGTTATAATAATTTTTTTGTCTTTCTTGCAAAGGAATTTTGTAGGCATGGTCGAAGTCGATATTGTTTAGGTCAAATTTTTTTATTTTATCCGCTGTGACATTCTTACGCCATCGTCCCTAAACCTTACACATATAAACAATTTTTTAATATATAAGTACACTACTAACACTAGGCACTTAACACTGAAATCGACTAATAAAAAAAACCGCTAATAAATGGCGTCCAAAGACTTGTTGTTGTTTTTTCTTTATGATGGCGTCTCAACCTCGTTGATTTTGCGCAGCTATAGCTCGTGTATACACGAGAGCCCTCTTGCGATATTTGTATTGTATTGGGAATAACCAATTACCTAGCAGATTTTTCGAATCTTACACTGGGAATGCCCAATTGAATTGGAAATTACCTATAGGTAGCTTTATCCAATCGAAACCAATAAAAACCATTAGAATCCTAATTGGACTTTTCCATCATGGAAAATACCAGTAAAAACCAATTTCTGTTTTATATCGCGCCCAATTAAATCCAGTAAGTCCAATTCAGACCCATTGATACCAACCAATACTTCAATTGGTTTCTACAGGAATTAATCGGTCATTTACAACAGAGCTACTTAATATTTTCTCATAATTTTATAGCCCCATACCGGGTTAGTAAAAGGAACCGGAACGCTTAAAATGTCTTAAAACCGTTAATAGGTAATAGAAAAAACTATATACTTACCTCAGGAGGAAAATGCGTTTCCTCCCTTGAATATTTAATGCCCTTCGCTTCGCGTCGGGCATCAAACTATTCGCGGGAGGAAAAAGCACTATTTTCCTCCCATGGTATGTAAATAGCTATTCTATCATTTATTACTATTGTTCTTATAATAGGGAATTTGATCACTCCACATCATCATTTCTCAACCTGAAGGTCGCGTTCAGGAATATGCACCCCAAGGGGGGGTCACAATAAAAGAAACGTATTGGATAGTTCATTACAGCGTTGACACATTTATTTTGGCAAATCTACTTTTATTTTTGCTTGAATCTACTAAAAAAAAATTTTCAAAAATATCAAAAATGTACTTTACAAAAAAAGCTGAAAATAAGAAGGGAGTTGGAGGTTGGGAAAGTACGGAAGCGTCAAAGGCTCAAAGCACTTTTTTTCTAAGTCAAACGTTTGAGATAAAAAGTCAAACGTTTGAGTTAAAAAGGCAAACGTTTGAGATAAAAAGTCAAACGTTTGAGTTAAAAAGTCAAACGTTTGAGATTAAAAGTCAAACGTTTGAGATAAAAATTCAAACTTTATAGCGGTCAATTTCAAGCAGTTTAGCAGTTCCTTGTTTATTACCTACGCAGGCGTTTCGCTTGTATTGTTTGGTACGCAAGCGCAAATTTTAAGGTTCCACGTGAATCGTGAAACAGTGAATCATAGAAAAAGGATTATTACATTAGTGCAAGTTGGTTAAATTTAAGTGTTTTGATAAGTGTTTTAAAGTGTTTTAGTAGTAATGTAAAGCCTATCTTGTTAGAGGATGGAGATGAATAATGACCTTAGTGACAATGAAGAAATGAGGGAATTTTTAAGAAAAAGGGGTATTAGAGAAATGCACTTATTAAAAATGGAGAATGAAAAGGTATTCATTATTTAATTAAATAATTAATTCATTTAATATTTACATGCACTTTCGGGTTTAAATGCGGTACTTTACTCTCCATTTGAGGGGGATTACATTTTTATGTATATTTGGTTGCATAACATCTAGTGGCACTCTTTAATTTTTTTAATTTACAAGATCAAATAAAATCAAATAAACAAGCAGAAGTAGTGTTTCTTCTAAATTTGCTTACATTATGAAAATATATAATTTATTGCTAAATATAATAGACCTATCACATGGATCGGATTTTCGGGTTGCGCGTGAGCGAATAAGAAAGAAAGAAATTGGATTTCGCTTTTTCGCGCGTGCGTAACCCATTCATAGGGGACTTTGGTTAAAAACTGATTTACTCGCTCAGCTTATACCATTTATATTTTATTTTATTTATTAGTTTAATTAAAAAGATCCCTATACTTGTAGATTGGCCCAGATGTGATTTTTCATCTGACTGATTCGCAGTTAGAGGAATTTATACCAAGATTAGGCGACAGAATTGCCCTTAGACAATTTCTAAAATTAAAAACAAATTGTGAGGTGCAAAAAACCACGAGAAAGAAACAGCTTATAGATAGACTTCGTCAAAAGCTAGAAACCAAAAGCTGTTTAGGGCAAAATGATATTGAAGGCATGTCAATTAAAAAAAAGAAAACAGGACCTCATTACCAAGACGAAAAACAAATAATATTGGGCATAATATGTCGAATGAACGGCGAATCTAAATTTAAACAAGTGAGAGAAAGGGGGGGTGGAGGGGCGAGAAAAATTAAAGTTTCCAAACTGGCGAACAAGGAGTATCTTCAAAGAAAAGGAGTTGAACTGTTTTTTCCCGATGGAAAATCTCCCAAAGGAGCATTAGTGGATTTTGATATTGACTTACTTGATTTTAAAAACAATAAAATTGACGAAGTTACCACTGTGGAAAATTTGTTAGAAAGCACGGGTTTGTCAGTCTTACGATTTTATTTAGCAACCACCCAAAAAACTGATATAGATGAAGAATCGGATGAAGAACGAGTATCTTTGGAAAAAAGTTCATCATTGGTAAGAAACTCTACCTTAAGATCTTAACTCGAGAAGTATTTTTTCATTTTATAGGTAAATGATCATCTGGCGTTAAACAAAAATCCAAACCTTCAACAAGACGATAAGAATGAAGAACGATATGGTCCATTTGAAACCTTGGATGACGATGTAAGAAATATTTTCAGTGGTAGTTTACGCGAACTAAAACCAATTTCGTTCTTCTTATTTTAGGTGGTCACTACTGAATATTCAAATTACCATGTGGTTTTGGGTAAGTAATAGCATTTCTGAATTATATGTATCCAAGTACACTTTTATTTCAGAAAATGATTCTGACGATTATTTCTTGGATGATCGATCTTTGCCAAGCAAAACCACTCAAGATAGTCTGAATGAGCTTATTAACAGTCTCCTTTATAAGAACGAAACTGTGTCTCAAATAACAACAAATGTTCCTGTTATTAATCTTAATGAAAATGAAAGTTTTCTTCACATGCAAAACGATTCTGTAATACCAGACAGATTAATTGAAAATGCAGAGTACCAATCAGAAGAGGAATTTAAATCAGTTAAGGATGTTTTAAAAACCTTACAGCAAAAGATCAATTTTGAAGAAATGAACAAGTTCAATATATTTCGCAATGATATTTTCCAGTGTTGTGTGAGGGCTATGAGGCGTAAAACATTTGATCCTTTTAACAAGATATCTGTCAAATTTAGCGATTATGAGGGAAATTCTGAGGGGGCTGTGGACGAGGGAGGCCCGACCAGAGAAATGTTTCGTTTAGCATTAGAATACTTGAAAGATAGTGAAATGTTTGTTGGGCAAAAGAGAAGGCACATAACTCTTAACCATAGATGCCTCGAAAAAAACTTTTATTTTGAAGCTGGAAGGCTAATGGCCTTGTCATTAGTGCATGGTGGTCCAGGGCCACATTGTTTTCTTTAATATTTTATGGGCATGAAAATACTACACCTACATTGGATGATGTGGAAGAAGAAATTCGGAGCAAATTAGCTAAATTAGAAGAATTAGTAGAGCTTTCGGATTTGCAAGAATTTGTTATAACTGAAAATATCTTTTCCATTGCTGGTTTCCACTACATTCTAAATTTGGATGAAAAAAGTACAATTGTAGCAGGTAAAGCATTCCAAAAAGTTAAAGTTCTTTACAAATAATAATATTTAATATTTTGTATAGGTACACTAAATTTTTTTGCTTTCAAACGTGTTGAAACAGCTATAAATCAGTTCATCGAAGGAATAAAGACTTGCAATATTTATGAATACATTAGACTTTATCCACATTTATTCCAATATTTATTCTGCGAAGAGAAATTACAGTTAACTGCGGATGATTTGGAAAATATTTTTGTGATCAAATATAGTCCAATGGGTTCCAATAAACGTTTGTTAGAAAATCGAGCAGTGTCTTACTTCAGGGACTACCTGGTCGACTGTGAGGGTAGGTTGCTAAAGCTTGGTAATAGTAATATTAAAACGATAATTTATCTATTTTTTATACAATTTTAGAAAACCTAAAGGATTTAAATGATCCTGAGCGGATCGTTGATGAGGACATCGAGACTTCTGTCAGTTTAACCGATATTTTAGTATTCGGTACTGGGGCTGATGTTGTTCCACCTTTGGGGTTTCCGCAAATACCAAAAATACTATTTTTACATAATGAAACTACAACGGCATATAAATATCCTATGGCAAATACATGTGCCCTTGAATTTAAGTTACCAACTTGTCATGGAAGTTACGAGGATTTCAAGGCCAACATGAATTTTGGAATTGCAAACTGCAAAAGCTTCGGTTTTGCGTAAAATAAAAAATAACCTTTCATAATAATAATCTTTTTTTTTGTTCATAAATAATTTTATTTTATATCTTTGTCTGTTTTTTTAAGTATTTTATAAAACGTTGTTTTGTAGAAATAATTTTTTTAGTTTCCAAATTTTATATATTTTTGTTTATGTTCGTTTAAATAAATAGACCAATGTTAATTCGTTTTTTATTTATTAATGTAAACGTAAATAATCTACAGTAGTGTCAAAATTTCATCACGTAGTTCTTTGTAAAGGTTTAGCGCATAAAATGGATCAGTAGGCTTGTCACTACCAAGCTCATCTAAAACAATTTTACACAAATCGTGTACGTCATTGTTACTACAAGGGCAGTCTAAAAAGACACATTCTTCTTCACAAATCTGCAAATGCTCTTCTTCTACTACTATAAGGTGGTCTCTAGAATTATGTATCTGTGGAAAATTGAAGATAACATCTGGACGTCCTGAGGGGCAGTTGCTGTGTCGATTTTTTCTAATCAAATGCATATTCCATTCTAGGACAACGTTATTTAATTCCTCCTAAAAATTGCATTAATGTATATACACACTTGGCATGTAATATAACGGAAATGTTGAAATATATATAATGTTGTGTTATAATTGAAATATGTCAGAAATATGTCGTGCCGTTTGGGTATAGAGATAATAATCTCTAGTTTTGGAACTAAACTTACTTGAATAATATCCATAAAACAAAATTGCAATATTGATTTATCTACAATGTTTCCAGTAAATAGCCCATCATCTTTTAACCGGGAAAACAAATTCATCCAGTATTGACCACAATGTTTTCTCAAGATGGACCACCATGACTCAATCCTTTGATTATTTTGGCTGGTTCCATAAATAAAGGGCGGTACTGTGTAAGCGTCAGTAATTTGATTAACTGCTGCAGTTTCATGAAAGTAAATCTGGATATCTTCCACATAACCATTCTCTGTGCCCATGTCAGCCCTTACAGTTCGAGGGAAACCTTTCAGATATCTTACATTTTCTATATAATATCCTGCTATTACCTTTGGATCATTGTTCGTGCTAGACGCTTTTAACCACAACACTTTTCGAGAATACCCGTCTATGCATCCACTGATGCATATTCCGTACGGCTTTAGTTTATCATATCCGTCCATGTGCCACAGAAAATTGGGCCCCTTATTAAAGTATTGCCGACTATTTAACTTTCTCTTCCTTCTTAAAGATACACCGTGGGGATCGATAATGTTTAGTAAAAGACGAACCGTTTCTTGTGTAATGATGATTCCGGAGTGCAGGCACTTTAAATGCATCCACTTATAACCGTGCAATCTTCCAGATCCCAGAAGTTGTGATTCCAAAAAACTTATTACATCGTTAATTGAGGTAAAGTTTTTTCGACGATAAAGGTGTAAGCGTTTCAAATGTCTTTTTAATGAAGACCTACTTAAGTAATAGCCATGTTTTATAAGAAACAATAAAATTTCATCTTTTTTCAAACCCAAATGAAACAAATCTGTAATACAGTTATCCAAATAATTCATGTTCTTTAATTTAACACCTATTCACTATAACGAACAGTAATAAACAAAATACAGTGAACTAATAACGACTTATGTGCTTGCAATGGACCGCTATAAAGTATGAATTTTTATCTCAAACGTTTGACTTTTTAACTCAAACGTTTGACTTTTTATCTCAAACGTTTGACTTTTTAACTCAAACGTTTGACTTTTTATCTCAAACGTTTGACTTTTTATCTCAAACGTTTGACTTAAAAAAAAGTGCTTTGAGCCTTTGACGCTTCCGTAGGAAAGATAAAAGATCTTAAATTTCGTCAACTTTATACTTTAGATTTTTATTATTACCTTATTAAGTTTTATCGTCCATTAACTTAATCATTGTTACATTGGGTTAAAAATTTGTGCAAGACCCAACATCCCTCAGACCCTCTTTAGCATGTATAAATCGAAAACCGTCTAGCGATTAAAATAAATTCGACAGTCAGTTGCATAGAGTATAGTTATAAGGAATAAGGGGGAATCACCGACAAAAAAGCAGGCGAAGCAACCAAATGAATAAAAATACCAACTTAGTTACACCTATACCAACAAGGAAATTAAAGTAAATGCTTGATTAAAATAATTTTTACAATATTATATTGTTAATGGCATTTTTACATTATTGAAAGTTTATGTTAAAATCTACAAAAATCTACTAAAGAATATATGCCTACTAAAATTTTCTGAAAAAGTAGAAATCTAGTAGATGTGGCAACGCTGTAGACTCGGCTGTATTTGTTATTTTCGAGTTGGCAACACTGACATGTTCTAAAACACCGAACTGTCTGTGGAACTGCCAAACCACGGTCTTATATACAGGTCCTGCAACTTTAAGCTTCGAGGTGGCTTCCTTAACGTGCCAAGCCGCTAGGTGGCGCTAAGATCGAAGGGGTAAAGTCAATTAAACTACTACTTAGTTAAATGTGGAACTACTGCATAACCATAACCTAACTTTTTAAATTCTTTTTCTATGTTTTGTTTACATTTTCAAAAATTTAATATTTGTGAGTTTGTTTCGGATAATTTACGTTAACAAAATAGGACAACAAAGTCTATACTCTATGCACAAAGTCCTCGGCCGTCACATGCCCAGACCAAACATGTACATAAGTAAAACATGTTAATGTATAAAATACATACGTATATCATATATATGTTACGGCTAATGTGTAAACATGGATAGTTTATAAAGTAGCTGGGTAGTTTATAAACTAGCCAAACTGTCAGCTATTTTAATTGAAAACGTATTTTTAACTAAATTAGCGGCTAGTTTGTAAACCAACCAAGGGTCTTGGCTAATTTACTTGAAATTATTTAGGAATAGCTGGATAATTTGTAAACTATCCAATTCAATTTGGCTAATATGAAAACCAAAATTTCTAGTAACACAACATAGCCAAGCTTTAGATAGTTTACAAACTAACCAACCAATATTCTGGCTAATTTATTAATAACCTATTTTTTTATTGTCTTGGTGGGGATGGGTTGATTGTTTATTTAAAATAATATATATTTCACCAACACGATGTGCTTAATTATAAATTAATCATACAAAATGTGAAGGTTTCAATAGTATGTTTTTTATTGCACATTGCCATGTTTTTAACTGCTCCTTATTTGTTGGCACTTTAAACATGGACCGCTTAATTTTAATGCCGGAACGATGGCTTTGCTGGTTACATTTTGGCACAACACAGGACTTCATGTCTATTAAAACCCAGATAGCACAAGAGGTACCCAGGACGTCCATTTCGGGTCCCACATTGGTCCGAACGTCCCAGACCTATATCGGAAGTTTTGGGTACGTCCAGTATCTTACTTATTTAGGAAAATTAAAGCGGATATACTCGGTACGTCCCAAGGACGTAATTTTTGTTTTTGGCATTTAAGGCTTTTCAGGTTATGTATCTGTCAAAGTCAGGGTTGGGTCAGTAGAAAACCTTAGGTAATTTACCTTGGTAGAAAAGGGTAGAAAACTTGTTTTCGACTTGCGTCGAAAACCTATAGGGTTTTCTACCTACGTAAATTACCTTATTCGACCTTCTCCTTCCACTTCTCTATAATTGATAAAAATTTGCCCTCATGCCAAAAATTATGTTGGGGTCTCCCAACCAAACGTGGCCCTTTTTTTCCCACCATAATAATGTTAAAAAACTCTAAATAACTTCAAATTTATGGTAGGTGTCTAATTTTTCACAACATTTAACAAATCATAATGAACAACAAACTTGCATAACCTCACATTTTTTGATATTTGACAGTATTCTACTTTTTTACGTTTTCTACCGTCGAAAAAGGTTTTCTACATGTCGAAAACAAAAATGTAGGTAGATACCCAACCCTGGTCAAAGTATAGTCAACGAAAGAAATAATATTATGTTTAGGCGTTAAAAATGTATAAATCTATATAACATTACAATACCATGGTTGGTATAAGAATTTAGGAATAGAAATACTGCATTTAATGAAATTCTAAAGTGTACCTATGGTGCCAAATAAGTAATATTTTTGTGCATTTGTTCCAAATATCGGGTTTTCTCCATAAAATAATTTTAAATAAACAGCATTATTGAAAAAAAATCTAGCTTCTCTATTATGGAATAAGTATATCTGTATTAAAGGTAGGTTATTATTTTATAACAAAAATATCATCTAATTTTGTAATTTTAAGGTTAGAAAAATTTATTTTTACCAAAATAAATAAGTATTTTGGATTATTTGAAAGACTGTATAATATGGTATTTAAAAATGTGGTAGTTTTTCTAATCCAACTTAAAGTGTAGGTACCTACATAAAGTTTTGTCAATACAAATAGTTATAAGTTCGACTGAATTTGATCTACATCGAAAAATCATAACTTTAAAAATTTTAATAAATCACTTGTCATGGGAGTATTACATATTTTCACATTGCAAGTTTCTCTAAAAATTGTTTGTTTTCTTATAATTTAACTTAGGTAGGTATACCGAGAGGTATGAACAAGTTTTGTCATTAGAAGTATAATTTATACTGTATAAAAGCTTCAATTTAATTTGAACCATATTCTACAATTATATAGTATACCTATATTTATTAATGACCATATTAACACTTTCTTCCAAATAATCCACTTATTTATTTTGGTCAAAATAGATTTTTCTAACCTTAAAATACAAAATCAGATGATATTTTTTGTTCTAATACATTAACCTACCTTTGATACAGATATTCTTATTTCATAATAGAGAAGTTAGATTTTTTTAAATAAATGTGTTGTAGTTAAAACTATTTTATGGAGAAATGTAGACCCAATGCACAAAAATATCACTTATTTGGCACCATACACTTTAGAATTTCATTAAATGCAGTATTTATATTCCTATATTCTTAAACCAACTATTAATAACAATTGTTATTGTGATACCATAAAGATATATTAACTTTTAACGCTTAAACATAAGCGGTAGCACTATAAATATTATTTCTTTCATTGACTATACTTTGACAGATACATAACCTGAAAAGCCTTAAATGCCAAATTTTCAAAAGACTGCGTTCCGTACCTAACTATATGTAGGCAACCCATGCATACCTCTCGCCTCTGTAGCACGATAGATAGTCCTATAAAGGTGGAATGCCTTAAGCTTCTAAGTAATAATTTCTAGGATACATTAAAAGTAACCCATCGACGACCAATTAGAAGGCTGCAGCGATGCAGTGTTGCCGTAGTGCATGCTGGGCCGCGGGTAATTTGCAAACATAACCTCAATATCTTGGCAGCAATTTTCACATTTGTTTTGTCACGTCGTTTGCTTGCTTCAAGTGTGGCTTTTCTGTGTTTTTCACTTAATAGTTGTGTTTTTAGTGTTAAGGTGTTACTCTATTCGATTTTTGAGTTTTTCTGTGCTTTATAGACTATAAATTTGTGCATATTCAATATATATTTATATTCTTTAAAATGGATTTAAATAAGTAAGTTTACACAAATAAGTTAAATTAAAAATTAAATGTTTACTTTGTAGGCAAACAAATCCCAAAATTTGTGAGCATTGTGAGATGGAATTTTGCAGTATCTCTTCCAAAAATGATCATCTAAAGCGAGTCCACAATAAGCCAGTGGAGAATAAAACAACGCCTCGAATTTTATGCCCACTATGCCCTGAAGGGGAAACATTTTTAAGCCATAGGCTTGTAAAGCATTTAAAAGATATTCACGACATTGTTGTTAAGGTTTCTACTTTGAACTTTAATAACATTAAAAAATTTGAAATCTGAAGAACACTAGAAAAAAGGGAAGTTAATTATGCTTGTCATAGGAAAAATAAAAGGCCAAATGGAGAAGAACATTGGTATTACAAGTGCAATAGAAGTAACTGTGCAGGTTGTATGCTTTATTCGCAGTATTTAACATTACTTATTATCTCTTGTTTAGGATTTAGTAGTACTGCTACTCAACATAGTTTAAAAGCCAAAGGAAGTATTAGGATTCATGGAATATGCCCCTCAAATATAACTGCAAAAATTTCTACCAGTGGTAAATATTTAAATCTATTTTAGCAATATGTAATAATTAGAAAATAAATTCATTTACATATGTTTCAAATCTATGTTTTTTTAGGATATGTTACAGTAACTTTTTTTGAGACACATGTGGGACATGAGGATGACCTACAGACTAAACGACTGTCAAAAAGTGAACAAAAGGTTTTGTGTGGAAAAATTAAATGCAGGAGTAACAAGCCAAAGAATAATCCAAAATGCTAAAATGGTTAGTAACCATAGTTTGAAAAGGATTAATGTAATTACAAGGGGTGATATTTAATCTGAAAATATAAAATTGATAAAAAAAGGCATACTGATGATATGATTGCTGTATCTTTGAAAGTTGAGGAATGGAATCAACAGGGAAGGAATGATGCATTTTTATTTAATTAAATAGGTAGGAAATTGGATTATTAAATACATTATGGGGTTACTCACAAAAATATCATTTTTAGGAATGA